GTTATTCTATCAATTTTTTTTTTTAAAATAAGTTATTCTAGCTAATCTCTCAATTTTTTTTTTTTTTTACATATTTACTATTCTAACGTACGCATAAAGATCAAGATCAAGTAGAAAGTGGAAGTAACTATATATGGTCGATGCATCGGGCGAAGTGAAATGTGAGTTTTTTTAATGTTATGTATGTAATTTTTGTCAACAAATGTGTACCCTTTCTATGCATTGGAATTGGTAATAAAGAACATCCCATGGATTTAGCTTATTCGAGATTACGGGGGGCGAATCAAGGACAACGATGAACATAATTTATATGTAATCCTTTTTTTTGTTTTCTCAATTAGTTTCCCTTTTCTCAACTACTACTTCTAGAAGTTGAAAAACGTTAATCCCTTGATTGATATGGCTTAGGCCTTGATTGGTATAGCTTTTTGATGAATATTAGCATAATGCAGCATTAGGTCTTGATTGGTATAGCTTTTTGATGAACAGTAGCATAAAGCAGCATTAGCAGTAAGCAGCTGGAGCATTATGCTATGATTAATATGAACATTTTAAGTGATTGGCAAAGCTGTGAATGATTAGATATAAAATTAAAATAATTTTTTTTTATTTTACTTATTTATATGATTCTAATACAATATATATATATATATTAGTAATAAGTTATAACATAATTTTTAGATTTTTTTATTAAATTATTATTTTATTATAATAGTAGTTAATAAATAATATGACAAATTAATTAATGGTATATATTAAATTTTCATTTTAAGACAAATATAAATATATTTATAAAATATAAATTTTAATATTTAAGTTCTATTTTATTAAAATTTATTTTAAAAAATGATAGAGCATATAAAAATTGATAAATATTAATATATACAGTATATATATATGTTTTATAATTACAGAAATTATGTATATTTATTTTTATTGAAATGATTGTATATATTATATTTATAAATTATATCATAAATTTCTTTTATAATTTGTTCGAATTTAAATTATATTTAATTGAATTAATATTATATCATAAAATTATCTTAAATAACAGAATAAATAAAATAATGATAAATATGAATTTAAATAATTAAAATTTAATATAATTTATTTTTGATGTAATTTAAAATAAATTAGTTATATAATATTAATTTTTGTAAAAATATTTAGAGATTAATGTTTTGGAAAAACTTCATTTGAGAGCATTGAGGGTGGAGCTTTTTGAGAGCATTGACATTTAGTAAATGCTCTACTTAATGCTTTGTCAACCAATCAAGTTTTAATGATAAAAGGCATAATGCTCTTTTAAATGCTCTGCCAATCAAACCCTTA